ATATACTTCATATATATGTGTATCAAATGTGTTTTTTCTTGCTGCTGCTGAGCACATTTATTACTTTTGACTCATTTTACCTGATATAAAAGTCAGATAATATATGCAACTATATAAACAGCTACTGATCATATATTCTGATATATATATTATATCAATTCTATGCTGCTTTCTTACATATATAAGAGAACACGCAGGCGACTAAAAAAAGTAGACTATGGAGGACTTTTAAAGACAAGCAAGGATATGACATGAACTTATGATACGATGATGATTTATAATCATTAATTATTTAATGAAGCCTGCCACAAAACAGCTTTGACTTTAAATAATCTTATTTTAATAATAATCTTATTATTATAAAGGAAAATGTAAAACAAATATTCACAATATTTCCAGCCTCTTTAACTGTGCTAAGATCATATAGAAGCGCAGCCAGGCCAAGTTGTGGAAAACTGATGAAATTTGAATTAAAGTTGAAATACAATTGAGCCAAGTTTGCCGCGAACAGAAGCTAATGAACATTAAAACAAGTTTATAATGTGCTAAATCGTTTAATACAGCTGCCTTTTATTATTATGGCCAAAATGAACGGGAAGTTGTGCTTAAATGTAAAACACGGTCTATAAATTAAGTATTCAGTTGCATGAGCACTTAGCCAAAATATAAAGAGAGAGAGAGAGAGAGAGAGAGAGCGCGGAACATGCCATAAACAAATTAGCCAACCTTGAAATCAGAGTCTGAGAGGACTTCCTTTAGCATAAGCAGCGAACCAAAACCAAGTTCGCTCCACTCCACCTCTCTATGTGCTTCTCACTATGCGCTATGCTTCTCTCTCTCTAATGCGAGACGCTGTAAGTAATTCATTTTTATGAGCTGCTGCTGCTCTGCATGCCACAGACGGCAATGGCACGTGGACTTTCGGACATTTGGCTTTGGCTTTCGCTTTTGGCAGTTAGCTAACGAAAACAAATGTTTATCATTTATAGTTGTGCAATGCAAATGGCTAAAAGCCACAAAAACCAAAGCCAAAGCCAAGCCATAACCAGTGTGTAGAACGCGCCACAGACAGACGAAGGTTGCGCTACCTGCCACAACGGCTGCTCTGCTGTCTTGCTCACTCGCGCTGCGCTCGCAAAAACAATAAACAAATGCGACAAACTGTAAATACCATAAAGTGCCAAACAATAGATATAAAGTGTAGATACTTTTGGCGATTCGTATAAATCATCGGCAACTGCAGGCAATTGTCAGTTTGTCAGGGCCAAGCAGATAATTAACTTGAAATTGAAATTGAAATCGGCGAGCAATAAAAATAGAAGCGAGACAGAGCATAAATCAAGCGGCGCAAGGACATGCCAGTGGACAAAGGACATGCCAAATTGTTGCACAAAAATGCGTTGTAATTGCCAAAAATCAAATGGACCCTAATTTAGGTTGACAGCCGACGACAAAGGCAGACAACAGCAGCAATAGAGAGGAGAGAGCGAGCAGGGAGAGGGAGAGATAAGCGGCAAAAGAGCAGAGAGAAGAGAGCAGAGCAGAGCAGCAAAAAGTATGAACGACTATAGCATACTCGTCCATGATTTGAAATAGAAGAAATATTTTTTATCCAATAAGCCAAGCTTTATAAGCTGAGTGGATATTCCATATATTTAACAAAATGTCTCCAGCTTTAACATACTCAGATAAAGAAGCAAGCCAATATACTCCTTTAACTTGTGAAGCATGCATGATAAGGACAGTACAAATTTATTTATGCAAATCGCATGTGTGGCATGTGGCATGTGCGGGGATATTCCGGCCACTGAAACTGCCAGCAAAAGGAGCCCAAAAAATGTCATATTAGAATTATGCAAATCAGAGAAAGAGGGAGAGAGAGAGCGAGAGACAGAGAGAGACACACACAGTCGTGCAACGCATCCTGAGTACGTGTTGGCGTTAGCCTTGAAGTCAGCCTTCAGGAACCTTCCGTAACGAATTAGCAGGCAGCCAGCCAGAGCTCAGCCAGTCAGCCAGCCAGCTTTTCAAACGGGGCTATAATTTAGTGGAATGGCTTTGATTAAAGAACAGTTAGCCAAAAAATGCTGTAGCCAGGCATGCCAAAGCCCCAAGCACAACTATGCTATTTATGTGTGCGTGTGCCAGTGTGTGTGTGTGTGTGTGTATGTGGCAAGGTGAAGGGCATCTGTGTGCATATAACAAAAGAGCACGCCAGCCACATGTCCTTGCTTGCTTTGGCCACAAATGGGAATGCGTCGCTTTATGTATGGCTATAGATATATACAAATATAAGAAGCCCGAAATCCGAGGGTCGCTTGTCAATTAAACGAAGGTCGGCTGCGCGTAGCCATACTATTAATTGGCTTAACATAATAGACACAGGATTTTCGCAGAAGTTTTTCGAATTAATTCTAATTTGCCAGGCGAAACGGAACTGGAAATGGAATATCATTAAAATAAGCTAGATTAACCTGGACTCAAGTAAAATATCGGAGATGACGTTTATTAAAATGGACTAGAAGTAGACTAGAAAAATGAAACTTTACTCTACTCTACTCTACTCTACTCTACTCTACTCTACTCTACTCTACTCTACTCTACTCTACTCTACTCTACTCTACTCTACTCTACTCTACTCTACTCTACTCTACTCTACTCTACTCTACTCTACTCTACTCTACTCTACTCTACTCTACTCTACTCTACTCTACTCTACTCTACTCTACTCTACTCTACTCTACTCTACTCTACTCTACTCTACTCTACTCTACTCTACTCTACTCTACTCTACTCTACTCTACTCTACTCTACTCTACTCTACTCTACTCTACTCTACTCTACTCTACTCTACTCTACTCTACTCTACTCTACTCTACTCTACTCTACTCTACTCTACTCTACTCTACTGTACTCTACTCTACTGTACTGTACTGTACTCTACTCTACTCTACTCTACTCTACTCTACTCCACCCTTATCTACTCGCTGATTATCAACTCCTTGAGCCTCCCTCGCACATAAGAATTGGACGCTAAATCAAGAAGCAAGAAATCACTTAGGACCATGACGCGGCCTGATAAGTTGACGGTATTTAAAATTAATGGAGATGTTGGCATTGTTCGCAGCGTTCCAGAGCTCCGCCATGTGGGCGTGGTTGGCCATTAAAGCACAAATGCTTAACTTGCAATTCTATGCAACAATGATTTGCCATGATGTGTGGACGCCATTATAAATGATATATAGATATGTATGCTCGCTAGACATGACATGGCTCAAGTGCTTGCACGCATTTTATATTAAATTGATTTAACATCATTTATTTGGTATCGCGCTGAGACTTAGTTAAACCTCATATGAAAGCTTTTCGAACAGCTTTTAGCGCTTGTATAATGTCTAGTCCACCCTGTTACTAAAGCTTCGTCTTGCAAGCTTTGTCAGCTTTTGGTTAACAGCACCTTAACAGCTGCTGTTAAATATTTGAATATGAAATTCGTTAGACTTACCCAGAGCAGGGAAACTTAAACTAAAATTGCATTGGGAAAAGCGCTGGGAAAACTCACCTGCAACGAGAAAGAAATAGAAAAATACAAATGAAAATTTAATTATTGCAATTTTAGCTTATAAAAAATTGATGGAAATGAATAAAAGCAGCTGTTAAACCAGCTGATTTTATGATATTTACTGAAGCAATATATTGAAAATATGATGTCGTGAAGTGTATACTAAATATTTGGTATAATATAGATTAAATATAATATATATAATATAATATATATAATATATATTAAATATAATATATATAATATATATTAAATATAATATATATAATATATATTAAATATAATATCTATAATATATATTTTTAATAAAATACATATTTTTATCTATAAAAGATAAAAGATAAACATTTTAATGAACTGTATTATTTGTCATAATACAAATAGACAGCAACATATAAATTAATTTTAATGAATGGTTTTTCATATAATTAAAACCATAAAGCCGCCAGCATTAAAGGCTATGAGCTCTCGAATTTATTAATAATTATTTAGAATTTATATACAAAAAATACATAAAAATGTATATTTACAACTTCTTACATTAGTTCAGATTTTTTATATTATTATTTTTCAATGTTCTTATTTTCATATTTTTTATTAATTTTAAATTTATATTTTTTTATTTCAATATTTTCGTTATTTTATTTGGAAACTTTACATTATATGCTTCTTATTCATATATTTATTTTTAATTATATTTTCATTTTTATATTAATATTAATATTATTATTCACATTTTCCCATCGGTTTTAAAGTTACTCTTTTATTAATATTTATTTTATATTTCTTTATGTAAATTTTGCATTTTTTCTTCTTCATTTGCACTCTTTGTTCATCTGTCGCAATAACTGCGATAAAACTGCATTCGTAATCCCCAATGGGCAGGGCAATAAAAATCAACTATTCGCAGGTCATGAGCCACCTGAGAGAACAAAAGAGAAGCTATCGATTTATGTGCTTAAGCCGACACACATTCCAGCCAAAGCCATATCTATTGGCCATTAAGTGACCTTTCGAGCGGGCTTTAAAGTGTTTGCCTTAGACGACTTAACCTTGATGCTGATCCGGAATATATATATATATATACATATATATATGTGTATATACATATAAGCCACATCTATACATTTATCTTTACTTTCGCAAGAGGCCATCAATAGAGCAGTCGCTGCTCTTCTATATTTGCTTTCCGCTTCGAGTAGCCTCTGCCCAGTTGTGAGGCCGTGGGCTGTGTGGGCGTGGCAGTCAGATGGATGCATGTAGATGGATGTCCTTCTCGAGTGCGTGTGAGCTGTTGACAACTGAGAGGCGACGGCTTGCCCAAGGCCCAAATAAATCAAAACTAATTTCATTTGCTGTCACACATGGCGTATGCGTGATATTTATTATACATATCTGTTGCTACTTGAGAGCGAGAGATTGCTTCTGTATGCACGAATCACATGCCTAATTGCTGCCAGTTGTGCCACAGTCGAAACACCATAAAGTAGACAAACTCAAAGCCGCTAATGAACGAGCAGCCAATGCACACGCTTAGCACGCCCCCAATGTTAGCTAAACAAAATTGAATCGAATTGAATTGAAGATTTGCAAATGCAGCCGCTCGAGCACAACAACTCACACAGCAGTTGGTACCAGTTGTAGAGCCCGGCCTGCAGATAAACTGGCACACGCTGTCCATCATAGCGAATGCTCACTCTACTCTCCAACTGGCCAACGTAGCCGGACAAACTCTTGCGCAGCTCATAGCGCCAATCATTGCAAGCGGGCAAGCACTCCACACAGCTCCAAGGGGACCAGCTGGCTGTTGGAGAGACAAAGAGAGAGAGTGGAGAATGACGAAGGCTTAAGGCTCTTGAGCGCCTCAAGATATTTGACATTTGTACCTAATTAAGCAGGGATAACTGTGCTGCTAAGACAAACGTATCAAATTGAGTCTGAAATAATTGCGGCATACAAATTTCTGTTTGTTAATCGAATTGCTTACAATTATCCGAACCAACATGCAATTTACATTGCTATTGCTGCAATCGTCTACAGAAGGTACATGTCACATGTGCAAAGGTACAGTTAAATTTGGCATTCAGAATTGAAAGCCAGAGTCTGTCGCTGTTGTAAAACATTTTGCATTGAGATATTTGAGTCTAGGTACATGTTATATGCTCTTGGTACATGACAATTGCTATGGTACATGTTAAAATTGTAATGTTAGTTGCATTTTTCTTCTGGTTAACTATTCAAGTGATAGATAATCTTGAAATATTTCTCCTTAACAATATGATGGGTTTTGGTACATGATAGACTCTTAGGTACATGGTAAAACTGAAGTTGTTGGAGTAACATCTAATTGATATATAATCTATATATAAGCTATAATCATATCCAACTTCATTCTATACTTTTTTGTATGTGCCTGGTACACGTAGAATGATTGGGTACCTGGTGAAAACTAAGGTACATACATCACCTACGCCTGAGCCCAGCTCTAAGCTTTCACTTCAATAGGAACTGAGCACGTGGTCAGCCACATATAAGACAACTACAATTCCACATTTTAAGGCTGCCTTTCATCACCGTAATAAAACCTCTCTTATTGACCGTAAATCCTCCCACAGCAATTCGTGTTTTCTGTCAAGAATTTTATTATTTCTTACCCTCCACAGACTGCAGACATGCTGTTTGGGCCAGAGTACAGTAGCTCACGTTGTTAAGCTGACCGTCGGCCGTGGCCAAGTCGTAGACAAAGGGTGCACAGTTGCATGCAGCAAGGGTGCTGCGTAGGCGACAAAGTGGCAAGCACTGCACCAGATGTTCAGCCTCCTCTGGAAAGTGACAGCCACGTTCGGTCAAAGGATAATTACGCAGCTGTGGATCGGCTTTCAAATGGAGCGCACGTAAATGTATAGAGGACGATTCGCCAGGTGCGAGACTCGCTCTGCCCTGCCAGCCAGGCAGATGCAGGCTGAAGGCAGCAGTGGCCTGTGAGCGTGGCATATGGAAGTCATCTGCGTGGGAGGCATTTAGGCGTAGCGTTAGCGAACCTGAGATGCTGCTTGAATGCTGCAAAACACAGCAGCAGCCATCAAAGCTGGGCGTTAGTCGAAAGAGCTCAGAGCAATTGCTAGCAACTGCATCCACGTGGCAGCTGAGTAGGAAACGCTCACAGCTGGGCGACAGTTGCAGCAGTTGCGAGCGCACATCCCGAGGCCAATGAGATGCTAAAGCAACCTGAAGTTCGGCAGCACTCACAGCTGAAACAGCCAAAGGATAAAAGTAGCCAGCGAGCAGCTGCAGCTGCTTCAGCCAATGCTCTCTAGACTCTCCATTGGACAACGCCAACTGCTCGGCAAATTCCTGCAGCCGCTGGCGACTCAACTTGTTCGCACTACAAATAGCCAAAGCAGGAAATGGCAACGACTCCACCGATTCTAAACTCAATTCAGACAAAGATGTTACAGTGGGACTCGCCAAGAACTGCAAGAGCGTTGAGAAGACCACAAAAGTGGCCGCTGATATGCCCGTGGCTATGAAAAGAAACCAAAAGATGCGCTGATACGGCCGTCTCCGAATAAAGTAGAGCAAACCGAAGCCATTCAGGCTCGTCTTCTTGAAGAACTCAACGAGCGTTTTGCGCAAGGCTCTGTTCAGGCGAGACATTTCAGTGAAACTAAAGCCGAATCGCGAGCTGTCACACGATACACATAAAACTATGTTGGTTTTATCAGATGCCCAAAACATGGCTAAGACACGAGCACAGCAATAATTATACCCAGGTTAGGCATATAAATTGCTGTAATTATCGCGTGCCACGACAACTGAGAATAATGCAAACATTTTCACGTGTCGCAGCACATGAAACTTTAATTATCTGACGGCTGAAGAAGACCTTTATGCTAAGCGTGAATAAATCAGCTTAAACTGAAGTGAGTTTACTGAGCTGAAACTATTTTATTTTATTTGAAATGTCATTATCATATGACAATTCATAATAGGAATGCCCAAAGATTAAAGATTCTTAAAATGTTTATTATAATTAATTAATTTGTATTAATAATAAATAAATTATATAATAATTTAATTTAAATTAATCAAAATTACAATTTAAATTTTAAGGGATTTTCATGAACTTTTATATCAGAAATAATAAACTTTATGATTTCATGCCCTTCAGATACTTTCTAAGACATAACTAAAAATATTTTCTTTATAAAACTATTTTTAAATTGATTCTACATCAACATTTTATTTATTTATTTATTTATTTGTTTTGTTATTTCTTACAGCTCTGTTTCCAGCCATAAGTGTAGTTCAATTGCTTTATAAGACGTGCGTGTTTAGTTAAATTATATTTAATTCAACAAGTGGGCGGTTCATTTAAGTCAAAGTCCACATGAAGTTGGCTATGTTTTGCTCTGTGGCAAGCGACACATGCAAACTAAACTAACTCAAACAGAAGACAAAAACGAAGAGGCGGCATAGCGAGCAGCACATATGCATACAGAGACAGATACAGATACAGATACAAATATAGATACAGCTTCATATATAGATACAGCTGCAGATACAGTTACATTTACATTTACATATATAGTTACAGCTACACCTTATATATATGGCACAATCTAACGAGCTTCAGCGTCAATTTAGCGCGCAGCCAGCGAGCAACTTGCTAATGCGGCATTGCATATTAATAGAAAGCCCAGAGAAGCTGACTGAGGCTGAATTTCATAATTGCCAAAGCGCACATTGAATGCTCTATAAGAATGAAACCAGTGAGAGACCATAATCAAAACGTAGATAATCAAATTGATTCTCTTTATGGCGTCATTAAACTCAAATTCGATAAGCTATCTGAACAATAAACCCAAAAATAAGTTAATTCTAGACGCATATAATAGAGTTCAGTTGGCTCTGTGTATATGTAATATATTATAGTATATAATTGAATTGAAATTGATTTAATTAAAAATACATCAAAAAAATTTAGAGATGCAATTGAATCAATGAAAAGAGAGACGAGTTGCCAAGATTGAAACTTATCGATAAGAATAACTACTGGTAACTGAAATAGTTATCGATAACAATAACAGCTGTGTTATCGATAACTGAGATGGTCATCGATAAAAATAGCTATTGATAACTAAGATAGTTACCGATATCAACTGCTGCTGCCAGCAGTGATTATCGATAACAATAACTGCTTAAACTGAGAGTTATCGATACAAAAACTGCTGATGTTTGAGATATTTATCGATTTCAGCAGCTGCTGATAACTGAGGTGACTATCGATAACAACTGCAGCTAATGACTAAGAGTTGATGCTGTTAAGTGAGGAAGTTATCGATAGCTTAAAAGTGAACACTAATTAAATAGAAAGTTTAGATAAGCTGATCTTATGATTTATTGTAGAAATATAGGGATATATCAAAATAAACTTGCAGAAGCAATCGATGCACTTTGTAGTTATCGATAACTGCTCTTTGCTACTAGCACTTAATAATAACATTTAAATGTCAAGTCTATGAAAATAACCAGAGAAAGAGTATGCCCAAAATATAGCTAGCCAACTGCAGCATTATATCACCTAGTCGCCACGAAGCACAACCTTTTAGATACAACAAACTCGCAACGCGTTACCTTCAACAGCTGAGAGCCAGAGCAGGGTCGAGGCGCCAAGACGCGAAGGCAAACAGCAGCAGCAACAACAAAGCGACAAGTGTACTATAAATTCCAATAAGAAATATATATATATATATATATACACACACACACACATGCATACACATATGAATAGAAAACCAATCGACGCCCACAGAAAAATAATTTCCGGTTCAATTAAACGCTTGTTTATTTATTTATTTATGCACAGCTCCCACAGGCGGCTGAGCGAGACAGCGAGAGAGGATGGTGAGAGGGCGGGGGGGTGGTTGTGTGTGGCTGTCTGACGCTTTTGGCTGTGGATTTAATTTTCATTTGCATTTGTTATTTAATTATGGGCAGCTAAAAATTGGCACTAATTTGTTTATGAATGAAAGAAATGTGAAAGATAAAAGCGTAGAGAGATAAAAGAGGGCAAGAGAAAGAGACAGGGTGACAGAGAATGAGGGAGATAGACAGACAGAGCTAGAGGCAATTGTGCATCGTTAATCTTGTCAAAGGAAATGCCTTAAGGCGCGCTGGCAGCTCGGCGCCGCCAGCCTTACATAAGGACTAAAGCAATTAGAGAGAGACAGAAGTAGAGAGCAAGAAAGAGACAGAGAGAGAGAGAGTGTTGTGCGATCCTGTTAACCACAAAATGATTGCATACTTTAATGGGCATAGCACTTAGCGGAGCTTGTCAGCTACTGCTGCACTATGCCCCACTAGCCCCAGTGCAAATCGCAACCCCTAACACCGCCGCCTCCTCCATCCGCTCTCTGTGTCACAAGCTTCCTGCGATAGGCAGCATGCGGATGCTGCAAATTGCAATTGAATCAAACTAACTACTAAAAGCGGGCGCGCGCTGCGGGCTTGAGTTTTGCAAACACGCAAATGTGAAAGGTTAAGGGCTGCAATGCGTGCCACAGCTGCAACATTCTCGGGCTGAGTGTACGTGTGTGTGTGCCACAATTTGTGGCACAGCGCATTTGTGACTATAAAACAAAAAGTTAATGTTAAGACGCTGTTGGAATTTTTATGCCCCAAATACTTTCTTTTTTAACGGTTAATTGTAAATTTTCCCAAAATAAAACTATAAAATGTATGCACTTTGAGAAAATGCTAAGAAGTTTGTAAGAGTTGGCTAAGAGTATAGGAAATAATGAATAATTAAGATGAAAATATACAACTGTGTTTATAAAAATAGTAGTGAGACTGAGCTGGAATAGTTTAGCTAAATTTTAGTGATAAGCTCAAAATTTAAAAAAAAAAAAAGAAATGAAATTAATGTTAAGCTTAACATGTTTCTTATTTTGTCACAAAATTTCAGGTTTTGGCAGATTTATTTATTAATTTTGATTGTCAATTGGCCAATTGACTAAGGACAAAAAAAGTATATGGGATAAGATTCGAGAGTAAATTGACACAAAAAAGATTTGACTTAAGCTTTAAATATTTATTTTAAAATGGAAAATAAATGTTATATAGATAAAAGTATTTATAAAAAAAAACTGTTAAGGGCCGCACATAACTTGGCAGCTTATTAAGCTCACATAACAAATCGCTAGAAAAGTGCAAAAGACAACAAAAAATCACTTTGCGCTGAAAAGGCTGTCGAGCAATACACAAGCTGCCCACACACATATATACACACATATGCACTCAAAAATCCTTTAAGCGACGACAACAAGAAATGACGAAGAACACACACGCACACGCACACACATTAAATGTAACGGGCAAGGCAAGGCAAAGGCAAAGGCAAGGCAAGGCAAGGCAAGGCAAAGGCAAAGCAAATCTCATGCATTTTGCACACAGAGATTTTACAGGGCAATAAAAAAGGCTGCGCTGCCTGCCTGCCTTGACGTTGTCACGAAGCTGCGCTGCCATAAAAACTGTTAACTAACAGTGCGAATTGTTTGCCATAAAAAGAGCGTGAGAGAGAGAGAGAGAGCGTGTAAGAGAGAGTAAGTGTTGACACGTGCGCATGCACGCTGACTTTGTGACGTTACTTAATGACGTTTTGCGTGCGAAGAATGCGAAAATGCGTAAGAGGCAAAACAATAAATTTGAAGACGAAGAAGCAACAAAGCTAATGAGCGGAAGGAAACGCGATGCCAACACAAAAATGAGAGTTGACAAATGACAAACTGAGACAGAAAGAGAGAGAGTAGAGAGAGGGCGCGCGTGAGAGTGAGTTTATGTGTGGCACACATACACACATACTTGTACATACCTTTGAAACAAGCACAACCCATGATGTAGCCCATCATCAGCGTGGCTTTGAGGTCGCTTTTAACGTTCCTTTTCTGGTTGTTGCTTTAGTTTTTGGTTTTGTCTTTGCTTTACTGTTAGAAATCTTGAAGCGTGGTGCATCAATTAACGGCAGTTATGGGAATTCGAGTTGACTGCGAGTCCTTGCACCGCCTCTCATCTATCCCTTACCGGTTATAACCGGTTATTATCGCTTGCGGCTCTATAACACATTCAAGATGCAAGTTCTACGCACGTACGTATGTATGTATGTATGAGAGTGTGCACTTGTGTGGTGGCCCCTTGAATTATTTTTACTATTTATTTATATTTATTGTTGATTGTGACGACAAACTTTGATTTACACTTGACTTTATCACATATAGTAGCTGCTTCTGCTTCTTCTCGTACTGCTTGTCTACAGCTAATAAAGCCTATAACTGATTTGATTTGATTTGATTTCACTTTTTGTTTAGTTTGGTGTTTTTTTTTTTTATTAATTGATTATCACTGATTGCTGCAGATTCTATGTATTTCTTTTATTTTCGCATTCGTAATTTACGCCCTTCGTTATTTCACTCGTTGTTAATATTTTTTTTTATTTGTGCGTTAATTTTATTTGGTATTACTGATTGTGCTTGAGTTTTGTTGGTGTTTTTTTATATATATAAATATTTATTTACAATATCACAAAACGAATATCTGAACATATGGATGCAAGAGTTCAATTAAAATTTGTTCATTCATCAGAAATTTTTGTATTATTA